TTCCCTTGAACTTCATGTGGTCACAGCTCACTTGAAGGGTTCATCCCTGAACCTAACGTGGGTGTTGTTTTGTTTGTTTGTTTTTCTAACTCTATTTTTTTTTTTATCTTTTCATGTGATAATGACAGAGAAGTGCCCACAAAAATAACTTTATTTAATCCCTACTTTTGTCCTCTTTCACTTTTTTTCAATAATGTTTTTGGCTAATAGAAGACAGTATACTTATTCAATCCTTTTTCTTAAATATGTTGAAAAGTGGGCCTTTTATCTATAGTTATACTGTTCCCAAATGCCAACAGTCTCTCTTTGTAGTCCCCTAAACAAACTTTTTGAATTTTATTTTCAAGTTTATTTGCTACGATATAAATCATTTCCATGTAGATGGACTAGTCTATTGGCTTCCAATTAGCTCTCTGAATATGCCTGTTTCTTAGATGTTAATTCCCATTAGCAATATATAAAAAATGTCTGTTGTAATACACCTTAAGAAGGTGCTCTATTATGATCTTCAAACCACATCTGAATTCAAGAAATGGAAATAAATGTCTAAAGTTTTCTGTGTTATCTTATCTCTTCCTCTTGCTCAATAAAAGAAGTGCTTTTGCTGAGCAGGAGATAGCATCTCTCTGTATGCACAAAGTGGTGAGGTTAGCTCAAAGAGCTCTACACTCTTCTCAGGCTCAACATACTGTAGGCCGTTATTGTGGTCATGCAGTAACCAAGAAGAGAATTTTTCATTCACTCTGAAAAAAGGAACTAGCAGAAACCGATCTGCACCAAATCACAGATACACGAGCGTAGGTAGGGCTAATGTATAGAGAAAAGCAAAGAGAACCCTCTGATTTTTACCAGGCGAGCAAGGAAATTCGGTTAGGTCAGGATGTGTCTCCATCATTAGTATGTCAGGTTGGGTCTACGTGTTACATCAGTCTCGGAAGGGCGATTGKTTTTTTACTGTGCTACAAAGGAGACAGACAAGATTCAAACACTCAACCTCAAGCTTGTGAGCAATGGTGTAGAAGCCAGTGGGGGGTGAATTAAGTGAGGGCAGAAGTTAAGCCTTTGGATTAGGCTGGTGACAGTCGATGTTGTTTGGCTTCGAAGAGTATGATTTTCTATGAATTACAGCAGCATGGCTGCTTGTGCCCCCATGATATCACTCACTTTTTTTAGTCGCCCCGGTTATACTTTTGAAGTCCCACACGGTGAGTTTGCCAGAGCAGAGATCAAGGTGGGCAGTTCCCAATGTGCCGCAGAGCAGACCTGCTCCGTGATGCACCACTGCAGCTGTGTGAAGCAGAAACAGTTAAGGATTGAGAGCTGAGCGAGAAGGTAGGCTGCAATTTCCATGCTGCACATGAGTGCTGCTACCAAAGTTACTGTTAAAATCCATCTTTGTTCACTGCATCACCAGTGACAGTGGGAATAGTTGTGTACGGGATAAACAGGGCAAGATGGAGATCTCTTATAGCTCTTCCGTCAGGTGCACTTTGTCCTCATGCTTCASACATCTCATTAGACACTACAGTTAGTGAAAATCTCATGTGTCGTATGAAATGTAAATTTAGAGAGGAAGAAATGCCGAGAGGAAGAAATGTCTAGAGGAAGGATGGATATACCTGCGGACCCTGACAACCSATGTTCAATCCCCTCCATCTGCTGCGAATTTCCCTCATAACCTTGAGCACCTGATCTCTTTTTGCCTCAGTTTCACCCTTTATACAGGGAAGTGTGCAGATTATAGCATTTCCCAACGGCAATGTGATGTTGTGACATATCATATTCAGATACTATGTAATAGGGACCGTATAAATTCCATAGGTAGTTTATCTGATCCAGCAGTCATGAGTCTGCCTGTCTGAAAGTTGCTGCTCCTGATAAGAACATTCCTGCTCTTAAAATTCCTTTATGAGAAACGAAGAAGGAAAGTCTCGGCCACGTTCTGGAGAGCAGGTGCTTTTGCGATGGTAGTGCAATGGTCAAACCCTGCTTGCAGCTCCAGTGATGGCATTTTGGGACAGAGATTCTCTGTAAATGGGCAGCCCTAATGCTCAAGAGAGAGGCAAAGATTTGGCAGGCATTTTCTGCTGCTTTCTGCAGCACTGAGGTGGCCCTGGAACCCAAACCATAGTGTCATCGCTTTATAACTGTATAGGAATGTTTAGTTACTGCTTTCATGTGTCTTTAGCACATGGAATAGCACATTAATGGAAATTGTCATGAGACCATTTGAAAATTAARATTTTAATTTATTTTAATAGGCATGAAAGTTCTTGATTCTTGTTGCTTTTGAATGAAAACAAATTAATCCATTTTAGCTTTTTGTAGTGCTTTTGCATGAAGTTTTAACTTGATTCTACAGATTTATATCTGTATATATGTATCTGACCCTCTGAATGTCTTTATTCATAATGGCATATCAGCTAACTCTTAACTCTAAAAGGGTGCTGTATTATATATCTTCTGCTGTCCATCTAACCAGAAGACCTCCCCAACACCCTCTTCAAATTACAGATTAACTTTACAAAACTGTTCTCAGTGATTATTATTGCTATTTATTATCATTGTGTTATTTGATCAGTGAAATTTGAGGATTAAGATATTACTGTACAAGTTGCTATATCTTTATTCCTAGAGTGGTTTGCAAAAATAGTACTTTTCTCTTAATTTACAAAGGAAACTTCCTTAAGATTGTTAAAAATTCCATTCCATTCCATCAAAATGCTTTGATCAGATGCGGATTGTAACAATTCAGAGCATGTGTAACAGACCCCCTGCCTTTCCTCTCTACCTTTTCCTTTCACCTTCATACAGTCAGCCCTACAGTATTAATTCAAATTATGTGCCTATTACTTCAGCAGGAGAAAAGAAACGTGACTTGACTAGTTCTGTTTATAGAGGATATAATCATTAGAATAAAATAACAACAAAGCTCAAAACAGCTAAATCACCATCTATATTTAAAACTGACCTCAAGCCTTTCTTGTAACAAAAACACCGGTGATGACTTCTGAAGCGTCACAGACCTCCACTTTACAGTATTTTCCATTTTTAACAATGTACCTCATTACCTTTTGTTACAGTGTTTTTTTCCCATCAACATTTATTTATGTKCTGTTCCTACGGTGGTTCCTCTTGGGCTTAAAAGGTAAGGCTGTCGTATCAGTGGCCTGAACCCACGTTAGTTGAGCTCTCTCTGATATAAATATCTTAAATCAATACAGGCTTCACCTTATAAAATGCACTTTTTTTTTTTTTTTTTTTTTTTTTTTTTTNNNNGATGCAATGTATTAAAATCCACGTGGAACTAACTTTTCTTTCTCTTCTCACTCCCGCACTTCCCCATATGTGGCTCTGATTTTCCCCTCAGGGTACCAATGGGAGGTCTGGAAAAGTCTTGGGAACCTTCAAAGAATGTTAATATGTACTCCACTGCATTTTTAGTTTAGAATAAAGTAAGAATTTTTATTTTTCAGGATAGACAAATGTAACTGCTACTTTAAAATAATATATATATATATATGTGTGTGTGTGTGAGAGAGAGAGAGAGAGAAAATTCCCCATTTTCACAAAAAAAAAAAAAAAAGTTTAATTGTATTTCATGTCRTTTGGCACCCAGGGTATTAAGCATTTACAGTTCCTTGTAAAATGTCTGGGCAACACTGAATCTTAATTTTCCTGAGATTTTTTTTTCTTGATAAGAAACTTCCACTTAATGGCCCAATTCAGCATTTGCTATTCAGTCCTTAAGCGTTTTGTTTGCCTAAGAGCGGAATCTGGTCCTGGATATCTATGCTGATCTTTATAAACCTCAGCCGGTGCTATGATACTTGCCACTGTGAATACTGTGATTATAATCACAAATGGGAGCAGAGCTTTCTGTTATATGTAGTTCTGCTGATAACAAGAAGCATTTTTAAGCTCAGATGCTCAAGCACACAACAGCAAAAAAAAAAAAAAAAAAGGCACTTTTAGATAAATAACCATTTTTCAGTGGTGATCAACATTCACTCCCTCATTTTACCCCCTCTTGAAAAGTTAGCTGGTCAGTGCTGCAGATAAAGACTGTGAAATCTGATCACTGGAACTAAAATGGACGGCTTAGCTGCCTAATCTCCTCCATCCCGTTATCATCAGCTCCCTGTCCCCTCCCCACACCATCCTCAAAATTGGGAAATAGCTCCAGACTTATGGGAATACGCTGCTGAGCTAAAATAAACGACCTCAGAGAGCACGTGCCCACAGCCACCRGCCCCAGGCTGCCCCGATTGTGAGACCCAAGGGGGTAATGGACTTTTGGGGAGATTTCAACATTTCTGATCAACTTCAGAACGCTGATAATTCCCTGTCATGATATTAATAATGATATTTAAAAAATCTGATAATATATTCCTAATGTGTAAAATCTGTCTTTATCTCTGCAGACTGAAATCTTGCAGATCTGCTGTGCCATTTTTCACTTGAATATTGGCCTGCACCAGGAAAATGGGATCTCTCATTTATACAGTGCACCCAGCATCACAGCTTSCAGATACAGCTCAAAGAACAGTCCCCAGCACCCCACAGCACCCTGGCTTTGCCTCCTCAGTACTCAATATTCAACTGTGTTTCTTTTGCACCTTTTTCTGGACTTTGCTGGAAGGGGCTGCACGTTGGTTCCTATAACCTGTCGCTCTCATGCTTTTCCCAAAGCCTTGATAAGCACTCAAAGGCTCGCTGTCTGGTCAGTGCATAAGTTTTCTTACCAAAGGCCCTTTACCAGAGTTGCTGAACAAGAAGCAAAAATAATATGTATACTGACATCACGTGTGTCTCTTTTGCATCTATAGACCTTACTGAGCTCCACAATGGAGGGGAAAAACATAATTACTTTTTTCTTGGTAGTAATTGTCATGTTCAACTAAATCTTAATCTTAAATTGTAAAATCATGTAAGGTGTTTATTCCATGTATCTGAAGCACACAGAAACTCTTATAATAACTCAGATTTATCTGTATTAGGTGCTAGAGAAGATACTACAAAAAGACAGTTCCTTTTCCAAATTACTGGGACTGAAAGGTAAGAACCCTCCTCCCACCCAGTTTTTCCTTCAGATCTGGGCTTCTGCTTTGGGCTGAGAATGATATCTATACCCTGGGAGATGGTGAAAATCTCCAGGAATATAGGAAATCAGCTTTGGTAAGAAAATAAATGATAGTCCRTTGTTATTATATAGTTTATATTTCTTCTTTTTAATTTCAAATGAAGTGTGCTGTATCCAAAAAGAGAGATATTTTCTATGCGGTATTTCCCATCCCCCTTACCCAACCAAGGGCATATTTAAAACTTGAGGGCAAATGTTCCATAAAACACTGCCCAGCCCTTTGCAAATTCCCTGCATAACTCTCACATGCATCCTCTAACTTCAGTCCATCCCTACTCCAAAGTTGTAATTTGCCCTCTAGTCCTTTTTTTTCTCCCCTTTTTTATTTTCTTTATTTACAATCTTTAAGATATCAATTAGCTGAAGAGATGCACTTAGAGCTTTGCTTCAATTACAGATCCCTCCATTTCAAGTTATGTGCTCTGTTGTTTTATGCTAATTTGAGTGTCCTTTCGCATGAAACATCAGTCTGAATTCTCTAATTGTTCCCTCCTTATCTGAGATTTGTCTCCTGCTTTCCACCCTTGGGTGTGGTGATATACATCCCACATATCCCAAAGGCTGCCTCTTTTGCCTGTACCTTGGTTTTGTTAAGGAAATCCCCTTTAGGCAGAACCACTCAAGCCAAAGAAAAAARTACCAGTACCAATGCTGACCGTTCATAAAGTCCTTTTCTTTCTGCAGAGCTTACAAAGATGCACAAAGAAGTGTAAATGTGCCATCTGCATTTTACAGGTACATAAATTGAGGCATAGGATGGAAGAGTACATGTGATAGACCTGARTAGAGACAAACCTGATATGGATAGCTGGTGGCTTTGAAGACATTATGTCCATTTTTTCCAAAAATGACAATGGTTTTTGGAAAGGGTGGTATAGCTGGCAACAACTACAGGGGTTATCATGGTTTTTATTTCTTCTGTATCCATTTTCATATCTTGTCTCAAATATAGATTTTTAAAGTAATTGTTAGTTCCATTGTGGACATCAACGCTGAAAAAGAGAGATTCTRTCTTCAATTTAATTGTATCAGTGCTTTCTATCCCAGCCTCCAGAGGTATCCATTCTTTTTTCTTGTGAAAACTTTTTGGTGCAGAATAAATTAAATAGTGTTATTGGGGTAGAAATGTTAGTTTGGTAAAGGTTGTTACTGTGAGATAGAATCTGGGGAACCAACTGGTCTGAAGCATTCAGCAGAAAAAGAAAAAAAAAAAAGAAAAAAGAAAGAAAAGGAAAAGAAAAAAAAGAAGAAAAAGAAAAAAAAAAGAAAAAAAAAAGAAAAAAAGATGCCCTTGAGTATTTCAAGGAAGCAAAGAAAGCCTGTCTCCATGCCAGCAATCCTGATTGAAAAATGACACTAGACTTTATGGCTACAAAGACACAATATTGTATATGACACTTTCATTCGTGGTCCTACTCCTCGCCCCCCAAATCTCTGCTGCTATATATTAAGTATCCCCCTTGTGAAGTTAAAGTAGCTCATAAAAGTGTTAAGTAAAAAGTCAAAACTTACATGGGAACTGTTACATTTTCTCTGTGTGGCCATAATGAGGTTATTTATGGTACATGTAGGAAAGATTAAAGGTTTTCATAATAAAGGAAAGCAAGAGCTCAAGAATTGGGTGCCTCCTAACAGCACTGACTCTCAAGACAGGATAAATCACCCAAGCAACCATTAAAACTTCAAGAAGATTGCTTGTAAACCTCCAAGCAATGCCAATAAAGCATATTCCTTGCCATATAGCAGTCCATATGGTGGAGCTCAGCAGTTTTTCAAAACTGAGRGCTATTCACAATTTAACCCTACTGTCTTTTTCCTTATAGGGCATGGTGCCAATGAGCCACTATCAAATCAATGCAATCTTTAAATGTGGGAGGGCGGGGGGTGTGGGGAGCAAGCTGCAATCTCGGGGAAAGTTAACTTATCCGGAGGTGAAGTCCTCAAGAGCAGGAAGAGGGCTTTGGATTCCCATGTTTAAGAACTCGGCACTTCCATCGTCCTAGTTCCTGCAGGTCTCCACTGTACAAAATGCTACAGACCGGTTTTTACTGGTGCTCAGGAAGTTTGGAAAATATCCCAAGGCCCCTCAAGGTTCTGGTTCATTTACATTTTAAAAAGTCAAGTCTGCCCATCCTTCCACTCTGAAAGGCCAAGGTAGTGAAAACTGCAATAAATTACAAAGTAAGCTTGTGTGTGGCGTAGTGTCAGCAACTGTATAAGCCAAAACCAGAAATCCTCCCTCAAAGTTTGCGCCAGAGATAAGCCCCAAACCAATTATATTGTTTCTATTTTTTTTTTTCAGTCTTTTGTCAGGAAAATCTAATCTAGATTCAGAGGTTTAATCCCAGTGACTCAGGCTGTACCAAAGTAATCACAGAGGACACCGGGGAGGAATGAATACGTAGCAGCACTGACTGAAGAGAAGTTCTCAGAGGTGGCCAATTTAGTGTCTGGGCCAAGTTCTGTTTCTTTTGTTTCACTTTTATTTTTCAGTGTTTACTCAGGAAAAGTTACCAAGTCAGATATTCATGTTAACTCTTAAAGTTGATTTAACATACTTATGGAGGGTCCTAATTGTGAAGAAAGGCTACAAGCCTCTCCTGGCAATCCCTTGTGTGTCTGTGAGGGCATTTGGATAACACATTTATTTCCTGCAATGAAAATTTCATCCACATGGCGGTATTTCTAGTGTAATTATTTAAGAAATCATTGTGGTGATAATAAAGATAAGGAAAATCCATTGGTATTTGTATAACTCAGATTTAAGCAAGTGTTCAGCTCTCAGAATGTTTTTTTTTCCAGACAATATTATAAKAAAAATTATTGGAGTATAAATCAATAATGCTAGTACATCAGCTGATATAATTTGATATAATCATTATATTAGTCTTCATAGAGTTATTCTCAAGCTATACTGAAGTTATTGTCTTATTCAGCTGAAATCTGAAGGCATATCTGTCCATTGCCTTTGGCACATGTATGAACTGGGATTTAACAGAGAACAAGCTGGATCCAAAGTGCTTGGCCATTCACACCAGGCTGCAATGCCGTCTCCAGCTGTGGATGCTGTAGTGACTGTTGCCATCCACTACCTACAGAACTAGCTTTCAAAAGYAAAATACATGCAAGACTCTTAGCAAGATCAACGAAAGCTTTAAGTGTTTAAAATCTCTGAAAAATAGGTGGTAACATGATAGGTGCTAACATGGGCAGAACYGAACTCTGTGTCTCCTGGGCTTGGGCATCAGCGCCAAACCCCTTTGGCCTCGGTGCGTATTTCCCTTCCCACAGGAAGGGTACCACGGGTACCAGTGTCCACACTGGGAAATGGGCACCGGGATTGTTGGGGGTCCTGGGAATGATCCTCTCTCGCAGTATTAGCAAGGCAGGAGCCCTGAGGTGGCTGCGAGATGCCAACCCGCACTGCCAAGAGATGCTCCTGCCCTCCTGCATATCCACCTCAAAGGAGCTTCTGGCCCAACGCACAGCACAAGGGAGAAGAGCTTCACATTCGGGGATAGAAAAGGGTATTTCATGCATAGCCGCTTTCTTTTCTGTAGGAAGGCCAAATTCACAAAAGAGTCAAGCCTACAGTAAGAGCAAAGCTGAGAAAAATGATCTGTGAATTAATAGTAAAAACATATAGTGAATGTTATACAAGTCCACTAAATTTTCCTTACTGTCTATTCCCCCTCCTTCACTCCTCAGAAATCTGTGTGTTGCTAGCACAATATTACGATTTTCAAGTGCCCTTCTGAAGGAACCATCTCAGTGTGGAGCAGGATCGTTCAGCAGTGTATCCAGAAATGCCCATGAGATTTCCAGTCAGCATGGAAATCTTACAAAGGACACCAAAGATAACTGCGCTGGCTCTTCTATTGCATTTCCATTTTATGGCATCTTTTTATATTCTGTAGTAGGCTTTTCTGAATAAAAATGAGACAGTCTCTTAAGAGGCCTTTTTATTATTTGCATTTGGCAAAAACAGCCTTAATGAGCTGTTAAGAGTCATTCCCCACTCCTATTGTTGGAGATGCATGGGAGCCTGTAAAGTGTTGAAAAGCCAAAAGACAATTTATGATCCCTGATGCTATCCCTTCCTGAGACAATTCTTCAGAAAGGAAGATATCTGAGGAATAGGAAGTCCCATTATTYAAATGCCTGAGTAACTTTTACTGGAGTCATAACTGTGGAATTTGCTATTTTCATTTCAGCATTGTTTACACTGCCTCTTTTCCCCTTAAAAGCAGCAGTGCAACGCGAGCGCTGCATGGGCATTCAAAGCTGCAATGCTAAAGAATGGGAAGATGACTAAAGTGAAATCTGCCATTCTTTCCCAGGCTTGAATAAATAGCACCAAATTCCAAGAAAATACCCATCAATTTATAAAACTTTTTTTTTTTCTTCTTGATTAATACCTGGAGGAAGAGACCCCTTTGTCAGCACCTTAGCTTGGTGCACCCAGACCTGGGAGGTGTAATGAACTGCAACTTGCTGCCATATGGGACGAGAGGGTTATTCAGGGCAGTGGGAAAAAAATGAAACAAAGAGTTTCACAAGTTTCTGCGGCAGACGGATGTGTGGGTCTTGGCATTGTTGTCTCTTTGAAAATGAGCAGCAGACAGTAAATGTCGGAGGTGTTTGCTATTGACGGAGGGTGCTGAAAAGACAATCAAATATTTGTGACAAAGGCAAAGACCTTGGATGTTATCATTGACACTCAGACGTCTCGAGGAAAAAAACAAATATCGCATTCCTTGCACTGTCTCTTACTGTAAATGACAAAATGACATCTTTCAGCCGGCGCGTGTGTATTGATCTGCTCCAGCCCTTACCAACTTAAGTACCGCAAATGGGTGAGGGATAGGTATGTCTGTTGGACGGTAATTAAGTGATATTCTCACTGTCTGAAGAAAGAGACAACCCAGTGAGGCCTCCAATTGCTTTTTTTTTTTTTTTTCCCTATCTTGAAAGAGCTGTGATCATTTCCACTACTAAAAACAAATAAGGCATTAAAATATGGAAAGAATAGAGCTCTGTTTTAACCTCTTTTGGGGGGAGGTGAGGGGAAGGCAGCTATGTTCCTTTAGAACAATACTTTAAAAAAAAAAAAAAAAAAAAAAAAAAAAGGAGAAAAGGAGAAAAAAGGAGAGGGGGAGTTCTCTATCATGATACTTGTTTCACGCAACTTGTTTTATAATCTTTTTTAGTGTATTGTATTTTTTCTATTACTAGATATAATAGTCATTTATAGTTTACTGTAAGACAATAAAGTTTCCAAAAAAAAAAAAGCAACTTTGCCCTCCTCAAGGTGCCAGCAGAGGTATTAATTTTTAGTTCTGTCTCCAAGGAAACATGATAAAATATCAGCTCCTGCAGTGATTTTTCCAGATCTAATTTCCATTGATTCCAGTCTCGGCCTGATCTCTAGTTTTTCAGCAAGATCATGGCTTTCTGCTTGAGCTGGATTTTKGAAATCCCCTGGAGCATCCAGGCCCGACTCCGACCTCCCCTCCTGAAATGAGCAGGGCGACTGTGAGACTTGCTCCTTTTTCCATTAACAGCGATATAACTGCTGTATAATTTGGCTTCCAGTGAGGCAAATATTGCCACGCTGCTTTGTTAAAGCCTGAGTGCTTTGTCTGAAATGTAATCATCAGCAATTACCATGTGCAGAGCATTTTGTCACAGTTTCTTACTGCTCGTGCACCAGCCCTGCATAGTCAATAGCGAGACCCCAGGCCAGGCTCTTGCTGGTGGGAGCTGCTATGGGGAGAGTGGCAATAAAGCCGAGCAAATTCGCAGCAGCTGGATTCTGGGCTCCTTCCACGGCTTCCGA